AAAAAAAAAAAAAAAAAAAAAAAAAAAAAAAAAAAAAAAAAAAAAAAAAAAAAAAAACTCATCTTAAAGAGATAAATACAGGAATGCATAAAGAATTTGCTATGCCAATGCTTACGGCAGAACTAACAATAGAAATAATCTAATTTCAGAAAACAGGAGATTGGTTAAGAAAGCCAGCTACCCAAATGGCCAAATGCGAGAGAGTCATTAAAAATAAGTAACTGGGGTGACAGATCCAAGATGGCCTAGGAGCAGCTCAGGAATGCAGCTCGCAGCGAAAGCGCGGAGGATGAGTGGACACCGCATTTCCAGATGGATTTTCATTGCCCACAGACCAGGAGATTCCCAGGCGGAGGAGCCCCAAGGGTCGCCAGCGCGGCTGTTTTGGCCGGCCCTGCGGTTCCCCGCACAAAATACGCGGGTCCGGACACCATTTTACCTGGCGATTGGAGCTCCTGGGAGACAGAGTCACCCATTCAACTGATAAAAAAGGGGACTGAAACAGGGAGCCAGGCCAGGAGATTCCCGAGCAAAAAAGCGCCAGAATCTCAGCGCGGTTACGGGGCAGTGGGCTGCAGAAAGGGAAATCACACAGATCCCTGCGCCAGGCGACTGGAACACCTGGGGAGACAGAGTCGCCCATTCAACTGAAAAAAAAAAAGAAAAAGAGGGCTCTGAGGCAGGGAGCCAGGTGAAAAATAAGTTAACTGGGCCAGGTGTGGTGGTTCACACCTGTAATCCCAGCACTTTGGGTGGCCGAAGCTGGGGGATCACCTGAGCCTGACCAACGTGGTGGTTTTTTAAACCCCATCCCTACTAAAAAATACAAAATTAGCCAGGCGTGGTGGCACATCCCTGTAATCCCACTACTTGGGAGGCTGAGGCAAGAGAATCACTTCAACCCAGGTGGCGGAAGTTGAGGTGAGCTGAGATTGCCTCATTGCACTCCATCCAGCTTGGGGAACAAGAGGAAGGCTCCGTCTCAAAAAATAAATAAATAAAATAAGTAACTGGGGCTGGATGCAATGGCTCACGCCTATGAACCCAGTACTTTGGGAGGCTGAGGTGGGAAGATCACTTGAGGCCAAGAGTTTGAGATCAGCCTGGGCAACATAGCAAGACCTCATCTCTATTTTAAAATATTAAAAAGAAAAGAAAAAAGGAACTGTGTTGTTGACCCCAAAAAATGTGTCTTTAATATATTCTGAATTTTTAAAAAGACTTCAAAAGCAGAATACTCTTTCTTGTTTCAAAGCATGTATGTAAGTATGTAGAGATATAATAGACAAATTCTTCATTATGGGAATTCAGTAGACAACCTCTTTTTTCTTTTTTTTTTTTTTTTTGAGACGGAGTTTCGCTCTTGTTACCCAGGCTGGAGTGCAATGGCGCGATCTCAGCTCACCGCAACCTCCGCCTCCCGGGTTCAGGCAATTCTCCTGCCTCAGCCTCCTCAGTAGCTGGGATTACAGGCACGCGCCACCATGCCCAGCTAATGTTTTGTATTTTTAGTAGAGACGGGGTTTTACCATGTTGACCAGGAGGGTCTCGATCTCTTGACCTCGTGATCCACCCGCCTCGGCCTCCCAAAGTGCTGGGATTACAGGCGTGAGCCACCGCGCCCGGCCGACAACCTCTTTTTTCAACAGATAAAACACAAGAATATTTTTTTAAAAGAAAGAGAGGGAGGAGGAAGAATCTACAGATTAAAAGAAAGGTAAACATCAAATTCCAATGTATGAGCTTTATGGACCTTATATTTTAAAAATTTAGGGAACAAATGGAAAAGTTTAAACAAAATTAGATGATATTAAGGAATTAACAATTTTGGGAGAGTTTAATTATAGTATTATGATAATGTCTTTTTTAAAGTCATTAATATTTAGAAATATGAACATATTTATGGTTGAAATGATAAAATACCTAGAATTTATTTCAAAAGAGCACAGGAAAGTAGGTAAGTAGATGGACACAGAAATGAAACAAAACTGGCTATGAACTGATAATTGTTGAAACTAAGTGTTGGGTACATGGGGATTCATTATATAAGTCCATCATCTAAAAAATATTTGAGGCCGGGCGCAGTGGCTCACGCCTGTAATCCCAGCACTTTGGGAGGCCAAGGTGGGCGGATTACGAGGTCAAGAGATCGAGACCGTCCTGGCCAACATGGTGAATCCCCGTCTCTACTAAAAATACAAAAAATAGCCGGGCATGGTGGCACGTGCCTGTGGTCCCAGCTACTCGGGAGGCTGAGGAGGAAGAATCGCTTGAACCCAGGAGGCGGAGGTTGCAGTGAGCCGAGATTGCGCCACTGCATTCCAGCCTGGCAATAGAGCAAGACTCCGTCTCAAAAAAAAAAAAAAAATTGAAATGATTTATAGTAAAAAACTTTTTGGCTGGGCACGGTGGCTCATGCCTGTAATCCCAGAACTTTGGGAAGCCAAGGCAGGAAGATCACAAGGTCAGGAGATCAAGACCATACTGGCTAACACAGTGAAACCCTGTCTCTACTAAAAAAATACAAAAAATTAGCCAGGCATGGTGACACACACCTATACTTCCAGCTATTCAGGAGGCTGAGGCAGGAGAATTGCTTGAACCCGGGAGGTGGAGGTTATAGTGAGCCAAGATCGCACCACTGCACTCCAGCCTGGGCAACAGAGCAAGACTCCGTCTCAAAAAAAAAATTTTTGGCCAAGTATGGTGGCTCATACTGATATTCTCAACACTTTGGGAGGTAAAAGTGGGAGGATCACTTGAGGCCAGGAGTTCAAGACCAACCTGTGCTTCAGACTCTCTCTACAAAAATTTTTTAAAAAATCAGCCAGGCATCGTGGCACATGCCTTGTAATCCTAGCTACTTGGGAGGCTGAGGTGGGAGGATCACTTGAGCCCAGGAATTCAAGGTTGCAATGAGCTATGATTGTGCCACTGCACTCCAGCCTGAGAGAGTGTCCATCTCTTTAAAAATAAATTTAATTCTGGCTGGGTGCTGTGGCTCACACCTGTAATCCCAGCTCTTAGGGAGGAAAAGGCGAGAGGATAGCTTGAGCCCAGGAGTTTGAGATCTGCCTGGGCAATACAGCAAGACCTTGTTCTCTAAATAAATAAATACAAAGAAAAAAAAATAAAAATAAATTTAATTTTAAAGGCCAGACGCAGTGGCTCATGCCTGTAATCCCAGCACTTTGGGAGGCCGAGGTGGACAGATCACAAGGTCAGGAGATTGATACCATCCTGGCCAACATGGTGAAACCCCGTCTCTACTAAAAATACATAAATTAACCAGGAGTGGTAGCGTGCGCCTATAGTCACAGCTACTCAAGAGGCTGAGGCAGGGGAATAGCTTGAACCTGGGAGGCGAAGGCTGCAGTGAGCCGAGATTGTGCCACTGCACTCTAGCCTGGCAACAGAGCAAGATGCCGTCTCAATCAATCGATTTTAATTTTGAGACAGACTGGATATTTTATATTAAGGAATTCTTAATTGACTAAGGCATGATAATGACACTGTGACTATGTTTCCCAAAATATCCCAATCTAAATTTAGAGAATGTACTCAACAATTTAACAGATAAAATTTTAAAAATACCTGTAACCTTTCTGACTCAGTTGTAGGAACATCAAAGCAAACACCCTAAAAGCAAAATAAAAACATTTTAAATTAGATGCATATGTGATTTTTTTTGTTTTGTTTTACTAATAATGCATGACACAGTGGCTACTTAATGTATTTTCTAAATTTAAAAAGTAAACACTGTATCTAATAAGAATTTACAACTACTACTAAGAATCTAGAGTATTCTCTAGAAGAGTTTGTGTAGACAATATATGTTTTTCCACATCCCTTGTAAAATGATCCTTCTAATAATTTTATTTTAAAATTTAATGACAAAGTTTCATTTACAAAGAGCTGCAGCGGGCCAGGCGAGGTAGCTCATGCCTATAATCCCAGCACTTTGGAAGGCCAATGCAGACAGATTGTTTGAGTCCAGGAATTTGACCAAGACCAGCCTGGGCAACATGGAGAAACCCTGTCTCTATTAAAAAAAAAAAAAAAGCAAAATTCAGCCAAGTGTGGAGGTGCATGACTGTAGTCCTAGCAACTTGGGAGGTTGAGGTGGGAGAATCACTTGACCCTGGATGGGAGAGGTGGCAGTGAGCTGAGGTCACACCAGCCTGGGTGACAGAGGAAGACCCTATTTCAAAAAAAAACTGCAATGTTTATTAGATAATAAAGAATGATATAACCCAAGATGTTTCCTCTATGGTCTTGGTTGTCAATAAGCTGAAAATTAATTTAATACTCAAGTATAGCAACTAGTTTGGCCTATGTATCTTGCTATTTTTTCCCTCCCCTCTACGTTTTTTTTCCTGAAAGTGTGTATTTGTCTCATACTTGCCCCACATCTTTTTTTTAAAGTTAATACTAAACTTTCAGAGAGACGATTATTTGCAATATACAATCTAGTTAATAAATTCCAAGCTAGAATGAACCTATGCAGTAAAGTTAATAACATAACGTTGTTTTTCAAAACCATTAGATGAAATCAGTCACAAGATTACAGTTTTGATTTTGCTATATAAATGTATTAAAATATTTATTTAATTCATATCATTAACTCATTAACAAACAAGAGCAGGCCACTTAAAAACCAAACTGCATGTTCTCAAAATTATAGAGCTGTTTACTGCGATAATAAGTTACTTAGTCTTAGAGAATGAACACACACACTGGGTGCAGTGGCTCAAGCCTGTAATCCCAGCACTTTGGGAGACTGAGGCAGGTGAATCCCTTGAGCTCAGGAGTTCAAGACCAGCCTGGGTAACATGGCAAAATCCTGTTTTTACCAAAAATAATAATAATACAGGCTAGGTGCAGTGGCTCATGCCTGTAATTCGAGCACTTTGGGAGGCCGAGGTGGGAGGACCACCTGAGGCCAGGAGTTCAAGGCCAGCCTGGCCAACATGGTGAAATCCCATTCTCCTACTGAAAAAAAAAAAGGTGGCGGGCACCTGTAATCTCAGCTACTGGGGAGGCTGAGGCAGGAGAATTGTTTGAACCTGGGAGGCAAGAGGTTGCAGTGAACCGAGATCGTGCCATTGCACTCCAGCCTGGGTGACAAGAGTGAAACTCCGTCTCAAAATAATAATAATAGGCCAGATGCGGTGGCTCGTGCCTGTAATCCCAGTACTTTGGGAGGCCCAGGCGGGTCGATCACAAGGTCAGGAGTTTGAGACCAGCCTGGCCAACATAGTGAAACCCCATCTCTACTAAAAATACAAAAAATTAGCCAGGCACGGTAGTACGTGCCTGTAATCCCAGCTACTCAGGAGGCTAAAGCAGGAGAATCACTTGAACCTGGGAGGCGGAAGTTGTAGTGAGCCAAGATTGCACTATTGCACTCCAGCCTGGGTGACAGTGCGAGACTCCGTTTCAAAAATAATAATAATAATAATAATACAAAAAGGGCAGGTGCAGTGGCTCACTTCTATAATCTCAGCACATTGGGAGTCCAAGGCAGGAGGATCACTTGAGCCTGGGCAAACAGACCCCATCACATAAAGTAGTAAATAAATACAATGTAAAAAATAGAAAGAGAATAAACACATGTACACAACCACATATGCTATGTGGCAGAAAATTAGATAACTTGGGTATTAGATAGTCAAACTGAACAGAATGACTTGCAGCTCTGGAGGAATGGGTTACGTAAATAATAAATAATGCCCCAAATTAATAACTGGAAACAAACTAACACAGATGAAGCAGTATTATTCATGCCATTAGGCTTCAAAAAGAGAAAGAACAAAATTTGCTAGTGTTTATAAACATTTGGGGTAGTTGATTTAAAAGCTATTTAATTGTCTAGAAAAGCCTACCATATTTCCTTTCAGGAGGCACATTCTGGTAATCTGAGACACTGCATTACTATTCAGCCTTCTGTTAAGTTCTTTCCAAGCACAGCTGACATCCTGTATTTCCTCTAGGCTTTCCAGAGTCATGGTCACAAATCCCTTAAGGAATAAAAATCACATTATATTTGGAAATACATCAGCAGCAGCAGTACAATGAAATTCTAACTCTACAGACCTTCAAGACTTAATTGTGGATTTCTTATGGGCCAAAAGTATAACACTGCAGCAGCTAAAAAACTTTTTTGAAACTACATTATTAGAAGAATAGTGTTTATAGATAATTGAAAGTACTATTCTATGTATTGCTATAAAACTATATTTAATTCTAACCATTATGCTTTAAGAGAGAATTAGGAATTAAGCAAACCAGAGCCAAGAAAGACAACAAGGTAGTGAAGAATTAAGGAAATGTTGAAGGAGTCAAAGTCAGCTTGGAATGAAAGCCTTGGCTGGACTCAGTGGCTCACATCTATAATCCTAGCACTTTGGGAAACCAAGGCGGGTAGGTCACTTGAGCTCAGGAGTTCAAGACCAGCCTGGGCAATATGGCGAAACACCATCTCTACCAAAAAAACAAACAAACAAAAAAAACCCCAAAAACTAGCCAGGCATCACCACGTGCCTATAGTCCCAGCTACTCGAGAGGCTATGGTAAGAGAATTGCTTGAGCCCAGGAGGCAGAGGTTGCAGTGAGCTGAGATCATGCCACTGCATTCCAGCCTGGGTAACAGAACCAGACCTTGTCTCAAAAAAAATAAAGGAAAAAGAAAAGAAATACAACACAAATTTCTTTAACCCTTTTTTTTTTTTTTTTTTTGAGACAGAGTCTTGCTCTGTGACCCAGATTGGAACACAGTGGCACAATCTTAGCTCACTGCACCCTCAACTTCCTGGACTTAAGTAATTCTCTCACCTCAGCCCCATGAGCATCTGGAACTACAGGTGTGTGCCACCACGCCAGGCTAATTTTTGCATTTTTAGTAGAGACAGGATTGCCCAGGTTGGTCTTGAACTTCTGGACTCAAGTGATCTGCCTGCCTCAGCCTCCCAAAGTGCTAGAATTACAGGCATGAGCCACCATGCCTGACTAATTTCTTTAAACTTTTGAAGGACTGTTACATAAGCAAAAATTTATTTGTTCTGTAACACTTCACTAACAGCAAAAGAATCAACATTAAGAAGATATGGGGATACATTCATCAAACAGTATTTATTAAGTACTCTCTACATATGTGCCACAGACTATACGAGGTGCTAGTGATTCAGCAATAAGTAGTCTTTTCTTTCATGGAAAGTAGATTCTAGTGCATGTGCATGCACATATGCCTGTATGTGGGGTGTGTAGGGGGTACATAGTAAACAAATAAGCAAATATATGGAATGTCATATAGTAATAAGCATCACAAACGGGAATAAAGCAGGGCTCAGGGAATAAAGAGTACAGGGAGGAGTATGCTATTTTAGAGTGATCAGGAAAGACCTCTCTGGCATGATATTTGAGCAGAGACCAGAATGAAATAAAGGAGGACGCAACGTGGTTATTAGAGGAGAAGAACATTCAAGGCAATGAAAGTAGGTGCTAAGGCCCTGTGCAATAGTTAAGTTTATGTCTGAGGAAAACCAAATAGGTTATTATTGGCTGAAATAAGCAAAGGGAGCGGGATAGGGATAAGGGATGATGTCAAGGAAGCAGCAAGAGGACAAGCCTATAGGATATTCATGATAAAGACTTTGGGTTTTGGTTCAACCCATGAAAGAAATTTCAAGCCACTAACACCCTGTTTCTAATATGTTTAATCAGAGATTAAATGACCCATTTGCCGAAGAGGGATTCTTTATTGGATAAGGGTTGAGACTAAATGACTTCTTAGGTACTTCTTAGCTCCAAATCTCAATATTTTCTTTTTCTTTTTTTTTTTTTTGAGACGGAGTTTCGCTCTTGTTACCCAGGCTGGAGTGCAATGGCGCAATCTCGGCTCACCGCAACCTCTGCCTCCTGGGTTCAGGCAATTCTCCTGCCTCAGCCTCCTGAGCAGCTGGGATTACAGGCACGCGCCACCATGCCCAGCTAATTTTTTGTATTTTTAGTAGAGACGGGGTTTCACCATGTTGACCAGGATGGTCTCGATCTCCTGACCTCGTGATCCACCCGCCTCGGCCTCCCAAAGTGCTGGGATTACAGGCTTGAGCCACCGCGCCCGGCCTAAAATATACCTTTATAATATGGCAGTTTCCATCTTAAACAAATGCTCAAACTAAGCATTACTAGTACTGGAGCAACCTAACATTTTATGCCTCTTGACATGATGCAGTATGAGGTACATATTAGCCATAAAAGTACTCTTGCCAAAAACATTTAACCTAAATATAAAAATCAAGCTTTGGCATTACTTCCAGTTTAAAAGAGGATAAAGGTAAAAGTTAAATGATGCTTGAAGTTCGGACAAATCCAGACAGTGAGATATTCTACCAAACAACTGACCTAGACTCTTCACCAAATCAATATCAGAAAAAAATTTAAAGATGAGAAAATAGTTTCAGATTAAAAGAGACTAAAGAGACATAATACCAAATATAACATATAAAACTTAATTAGATCCTGAATTTTTAAAAAGATACACACAAATAGGTATATGGATACATATGGATAAACAGAATGGAGTCAAATAAGTCACTTGCAGCAAAATAAGATTTAGCTAAACTATTAACACATATCAGGTAGAAAACATCAGATACTCCAGCTGCATTTATTTCTGCAAATAAGTCACCTCCAAGTTAACCTGCCCTGCCTTTTTGGTCCCTCCTCCCCATCACAGGGATGTGCTGCCCAAAATTAGTCTGTTCTGTTATTATTTGAAAATCCTGCCAGCAGGCTCTAATCTTATAGATATCTCCAGGACGAGGCTCGCTCACTCTCTCTCTCCACTCAGACATAACAGAGCTCTTTTTAAAAATTCTCTTCACCAAGAAACTCCCCTCAATTATACTTGAGTAAGTAAAAAATCACTGAGCTACCTGCACCAATGGTTCTGGTGTGGTAATATTTTGACATGTGATACTAACCTAGCAGCAGGCCAGTTCAGATGATATTACACCTACACAAACCCTCCACACACACAGGCATTTCTTACTTTGCATGCTACTGAGTTAATTGTGCAGAGGCTATTTTTTACTTTGCAGGATTCCATGGAAATTTACAAATGAAACATAGGTTCTGGTGTATAAGTTTCAGTTAATAAAAGTCTGTACAAAGTAAGCATTTCCTATATTTCTCTCCAAATATGCAGAAAGACAGACAGGTTCTGGTGTATAAGTTTCAGTTAATAAAGGTCTGCACAAAGTAAGCATTTCCTATATTTCTCTCCAAATACACAGAAAGACAGACAGACATTTTCGGGATAATGAGAAAAATATGGATATGAACTAAATATTTGATGATAATATAGAACTATCATTAATTTTAACAGATGAGATTATTGTATTGTGATTACGTAGGAGAATATCCTTATTCTCAGAGGATGCATGCTGAAATATTTAGGGATGATATCACAGTGTTTCAATTTACTTTCAAATGGTTTAGAAAAAAAAAAATACAGGACAGGCAAGGTGGCTCACGCCTGAAATCCCAGCACTTTGGGATGCTGAGGAGGGAGGATCACCTGAGGTCAGGAGTTTGAGACCAGCCTGACCAATATAGTGAAACCCCATCTCTACCAAAAATACAATAACTAGCTAGGTGTGGTGGCATGCGCCTATAGTCCCAGGTACTCAGGAGGCTAAGACAGGAGAATTGCTTGAACCCTGGAGGTGGAGGTGGCAGTGACCCAAGATCACACTACTGCACTCCAGCCTGGGCGATCACAAACTCTGTCTCAAACAAAAACAAAACAAAAAACATAAAGTTATAAAGCAAGAAAGAAGATATTGAATGGTTTCTAAAACAAAGAAATGATAAATGTTTAAGACAATGAATATGCTAATGATCCTGATCCGATCCCTATACATGGTATGTATTGAAACATCACTATGTACCTTATAAATATGTATGATTATTACATGTCTTTTTTTTTTTTTTGAGATGGAGTTTTGCTCCTGTCGCCCAGGATGTAGTGCAATGGCACGATCTCAGCTCACTGCAAACTCCACCTCCCAGGTCCAAGCAATTCTCCTGCCTCAGCCTCCCGAGTAGCTGGGATTACAGACATGAGCCACCACATCCGGCTTATTTTTTGTAACTTTTTTAGAGTCAGAGATTCGCCATGTTGGCCAGGCTGGTCTTCAACTCCTGACCTCAAATGATCCACGTGCCTTGGCCTCCCAAAGTCCTGGGATTACAGGTGTGAGCCACCGTGCCCGGCAGTACATGTTATATTAAAAAAAAAAAAATTAGAAATTAAGAGCTAAAAAAGGATATAAAGCAAATAATGCACAATTTTGACAGTTGAGTCTAGGTGGATGGTATGTGGTTACTGCCTTATTCTTTCAGTTTTTCTGTGGGTTTGAAATCTCTGGAAGAGGTGATTGTCAAAAAAGGATTTTTTTTTTTTTTTTTTTTTTTTTTTTTTTTTT